GTCAGAAGAAAAAGAAATAAGTCTGGCAGTTGATGACAGAATAGAAAGAGAAGAAATGGATAAGAAGATGGCTCAACTAATGAAAAGGTATTTTTCGGCACATAAATGTTCACTTCTATGCCTATTCACGTAGACCTCTTTGTTGCGCTTTGCCAGCGCAAATTTTGGTGAAGTTTTTTCTTCGTGGATTCATCTCAAAGCCTTGAGAGTTTATGTGGAATCGGTTTTGCGTTATGGATTGCCACCAGATTTTATGTCGGCGATAATAAAAGTATTTATCATTTGTAAACTTGATTGCATGCTTTCTGTTCTCATACTAATGTCATTCTTCTGGACGTAAGCCAAAACCAAAAATGGAAAAGAAAATAAGGGAGATATTAAACGTACAATATGGAAAACTTGGAGGGGTATTTACTAAAACGACACAAAAAGAGGAAAACATTGATGAATTTCACAGCCTCGTTGACAAGGATTACTATCCGTACGTGTGGTTCCAAATTCAACTTGACGCTCTAAAACGGTAGATGGTGCGAGAATCGCTTTTTGGTGGAGCGAACATTTTTATAATTGGCAAATATTCTACTCATATATGGGCTTCAACATTCGAGATAACATTTTTTGCTCTTTGAATTTGCATTGAGGCTCTTTTATTGCATTTATCACATTCAATTATTTATTTATGATCTTATTTGTTCATATATATATTCTTATCTTCAAACTATGTACTAATAGATATTGTTTGCCTCGAATAAAGTTTAAACAGAAAAGAACATGAAAATGTAAATTCACTTAAACTTGTAATAAAGGGGACCAATTGAATGTTAGTATGTGACCCATGTTAAATTGTTTAATTATTCGTTTATATTTCTCATTCGGTTTTGTTATTGTTGATCGAATTGAAATTATAGGATTGCTAAATAAATAATAAAATTAAAATATAGAAATTAAAATAAAAATAACCAATAAATTAAAGTTTAAAAATTAAAAACAAGAAATTGATTTTAGTAATTAAACCTTTATATCAAAATTTTTAATTTTTATTATTAATTTAATTAAACATATTTTTAATTAAACATATTTTAGTTATCTGAGTCATCAATCACAAGGTTTAAGTTCAATATTATATAAGGGTCAACAAGATATCTTTTGATTAGATTTATCAAAATAGCTTATAAAAACCATATACTATCATTCAAAAATAATATCAAATTAAGTTAAATTGTAAAAAGATGAGATTTCTGGCATTTTATTGTTTAAAAGCTAAAATATATAATTATACTATTAAAAAAATTGTATAAAGAAAGGTTTTTAATTTAATTAATTACAAATATCTTATAAACTTCTATCAAATTATATAATTTCTTTTAATCAATTTTTTGTTTAGATATTAGTTACTGACAAGACTTTCTTTTTGTTTTTTATTTTTTAGTGATATAAATATTAATTATTTCATATATTTCTTTTATATTTTTTTAGTTTCTTTTATAACTAAGTATTTAAAGAAATGCCTTAGTTTTTCTTTTGAAATTTATATAATTAACAAATAGTAATTAAATAAATATATGGTTTTCTTTTTTTAAGTACTTATAATATTGAAAATTTATTATGAATTAAATTTGTTAAAAAGCTTTTGTTTTTGTTAACTTTAGAAAATATATAAAAAATATTAAATAAATGAAACTAGCTTTAGAAAAGTAATAAATCCATATTTCTATCTTATTGAATTCAAAAATTTTAAATCTTCTTTTGTAATATCTAATTCAAACTAATCTTTTATTATTATTATTATTTTAATAAAATCTTTGATACTAATATTAATTGTTTATTCTTTTCATACAATAATAGTTAAGACTTTTTTTAATTCTAATTTTTTTTTTTTTTTTTTTTTGCACTCTGTCAGGCTAATTACATATGTTTTATTAAACATTTATAAGCTGTACAT